AATATATATATATATATATATATATATATATATATATATATATATAGAGGTACCAAATAATTTTTATTCCCAATCTAGTAATCGGATTTTCTGACCTCCATTAGCACAATAATGAATATAGCATGAAGAATTTATCAAAGTTTTCAAGGATAGTAATCGGATTTTATGACCTCCATTAATGAATATAATATGAAGAATTTATCAAATCTTAACCGTGCCAAAAACAATGTTTGAAAGTTGAACTCGCGCTAGGTCTTGCCAAGTTCCCAAGCGCGAGTCACCAGCTCTGAATCCCCATAATCTCGAGTCAAACCATGTATCTCTAAATAAAAAAGTTGTTGATCATTTAATTGCCAACTCAAAACAAGTACTAATATTTTATATTTAAAGGTTTTACATCTAAACTCGCTATGTCTGAAATATAACTCGGACGAGTCCCCTATTAGTCGGTGTAAAATACTGTTGCGTTGCGTGTCCTATGGATGGGACACTATTTATCTACTTAACGGAAACAAGGCCCCTAAGAGTTTAAGAGCACATTTTCCACTTGGGTCAAGTGAAAAAGAGAAGACCACATCCAACATTGCTCCTGCGGAAGCATATTGTACATTAACTCTTTTGGGCAAAAGAATTATATGGGAGTACTTTTTCTATCTGAAATTTTGGAATTCACCATCAACAACAGATGGTTAATTTCAAGATAAAATTTCGATTTTGGGTTCTTCAACACTTAGAACTTACCTTTCAAATATTGGACCGTCCTTATTCAATTATGGGATATTAAATTTATCGACCAACCATGTGCACTTTAAACTTCTTCTTTTTTGAACTTGGTCACTGGGTTCAAGAGGTCATATGCCAAACCTTTGGGGCCCTAAAAATACTCCAAGCTTTACTTTTACCCGAGGGAGCAAATAGATAGTATGCCCTCACTGGAATAGCAATCTCTTGCAAAGAAAAAAAGAGGTGAGAGCACAAAAATTAGCACTCTAAGTGCACGTCAGAACAGGTGTGACATATTCCTCTTTTGGGTTTGTATATAATGAGCAATTATTTTATCAACATAAACTGTTTAATATCTTACCCATATCTTTCGAATTAATTTCAAAATACTTATCAAAATGAATTAGAATAGTTGAGAAAAGTTAAATTGTTAAATTGTTGAAAAGTTGGCTGTACTTTGATAAATTCTCTTTTATTTACTTCATTATACTAAAACGTACATCATCTTAGCCATTAGATCTCGGTTTAATAGGGTTGTGTGTTTTATTCAACATTCTTTAGACACGCTTGTTGAATAAACTTTTTTTTTCCATAAATATCAATTATTTATTCGATTGTGGAAAAAGTTTAAGTGCGTCCATGCCCGTATGCAATCTGCTTCCATAATCCAATTTTAGAAATTGATTTGGATTAAAATTCCTGCGGGTTAATCTCAAATCTCAACCACCGCTATCATCAGTATACAGAAGAAGGATTTATATGTTAAAAAATACCTCATTAAAAGAAATAAACTGAATGGTCCAAAAATACTTAAAAACGAAGTTTAAAAGTCCTCATTTTTTTAAATTTAAAATTGATTTTTTTCATATTCATAACTATTGTGGTCAAGATTGTCAATCAATTAAATTTGAGATGAGATCCATCTTAAAGATGGATCTTTGATGGAGCCTGCACCAAAACAGAGTAGGTCAACTGTCAAATGAAAACCCTGCTCTCCAGTTATTATTATTGGTATCAATAGTGCAATTATTATCAGCAGCATCATCACCATCACCATCACCATTAAAGAAAGTTAGGGCGTAGCCCCAACAGATGTAGTGGCTATGGATTGAGGATCCAAAAATTATTTCAGAGCCTTGCAAATCCAACTATGGTCGTAAATAATTTTGGAACTCTAAAAACAACCCAAATAAGACAATCATTCCATAGAAAATGGACAACCCATAAAAAATGGTACAACTGTATAGAAAAATTTTAAGGTTCAAAATCTTTATTTTTACTATTCATGATTGCCGAAGTCAAGATGATAATCCACTAAGATTTAAGATTTGGGTCATCAATTCATACCTTAATAGGCTTAGCCTAGCTCGCACATACAAAATTATTTTCCCATTGTTATTGTTATTGTTATTATTATTGTTATTGGTGTTATGATACCATGACAATCTACTTGCAAATGTAGGGATGGAGTGAGGGTGAAGGGTTATTTTATGTGGTCTCACCTTGACAGTTTTGAATGGCAAGACGGGTACACATCTCGGTTTGGATTTTACTATGTCGATTTCAAGAACAACCTCACCAGATATCCTAAGCTTTCAGCCCACTGGGTCTCCAGCTTTCTTCTTGGAGTAAAAAACCCAAACCCTAAATATGAGGAGCATGGGCTGAGACACCATGTAATTTGAACTAAGATTTTTTTTTTACTGTTGTTTAATGATGTATTAGTAATGGACCTAATTTGCTCCCTATTTCTATTACATCTTCCTTTTTTTCATTTTTTATTATTCAATTTTTGTCTTTGTGATCAATATGGGATCAAATAATGACAAATTAAATTTTTGTTTAAAGGAAAATGGTTTGATAGGGCTGCAGTAAAGCCCCACTTTATAACTCATCAAAAATTGTAATTCACGTATTAGAAAGCCTTTATATCGATGATCTTCATTTGAACATTATGGTTGTGAAGAAAAAAAAGAAAGGATTTCAAGCTCTAAAAATATTGTTATTATAATAAATTATCTAGACCGTCCATATCTCCTTAAAAATAAGTGCTCATAGATTCGCAAGATCTATATTTTTTTTTAGTTTCGAACTTTATTTACAATGTTGGAAATTGATTTTAGAGCCATCATGGAGATTTCCATTGTTTAAAGCGTTTTTCGCTAACTTTAAATATGATGAAGTAATTTTTTATTTTTTAAATGAAAGGAAAAATTACAAAAAAGCCCAAGACTACATTTTCTATAGAAGTTACCCCCAACCAATCTTTTTTCTCACTTTTTTTTCCAAAGCAAACTTTGTATACAAATACGCCCTAAAAGAAAAAAGTTCATTTTTTTTACATAGAAATGCCCTTTTCGTACATAAAAGTCATTTTGGACAGATTTGATATTGACTTTTGGACCCCAATAGTACACTGCTGGAGCACACCATTACAATGCCAGATCGCACAAGTGCGAAACTGCCCTAAGACAACTACCGGACCGAAACTGAGTACTACCGGACCACCCTTTACATAATGTTGGATCCTTAGAATCCAATAACATCTACTGCCAGACCACCCTTTACAACTATCTGACCATCCTTTTCAATTGTTGAACCACAATTTACACACTACCGGAGTCTTACTGTCGGACCGTACTTTACAGAGTACTGAAGCACTACTACCGGACTGTACTTTACACAGTACTGAAGCGTTACTGTCGAACCGCATTTGTACAGTATCGAAGCCCCTATTTTGGCTTGATAGAAGAGAGAGAGGTACGGATAATGTAAAAATAAGGAACGGTAGCTTAGATATTTTTTTATTTTTTATTTTAATTGGAAGGGTAGTTGCAGTTTTGGAAAAAACATAATGAGAGAAAAAGTTACATAGAGAGCGTAGTCTTGGAGGGTTTTTTTTTTTTTTATTGTAATTTCACCAAAACGAAAAGTAACAGTTGCTGATGTGAGGGAAAAGTGACAAAAGAACCAATGAGAAAAACAAGATCTCTGACTATTTCTCCGATTACGGATTAGAGGACTTTAAAGTGAGGGGACCACATGGAGCGACAGTGGCTTCGTCTTTTGAATAGTTCAAGCCTGCTCTTTGAAATTTGAAAACCTTAATAAAAAAAGTAAATTATTGTTAATATATTTATATTTTATTATAATTGAAAAAAAAATATTAATTTTTAAAACCTCACCTACTTGTTTTTTACAATTTTGAGTTTTTTTTCGAACCAAAATAACCTTCACAATAGTCTTTTTACTCTAATAGATTTTAAGCTTTACGGTAATTGAAATACCGTAATAAATTGAAAGAGTATGACAATAATTAAAATACTATAATACTTAGAGTATTACGGTAATTAGAATACTGTAATACTTTAAAATAATATTACAGTACTTTAATTACCGTAATAGTCCAAAATCTTCAAATCGAAATTAATATCAAGGTTACCACTCTCCTCCCACCCTCTCCGTGAATTTGAAAATTGTCCCTGTGAACTTGGAAATTGTCAAGCTGTGGTGGTGAAGTCGCTGGAAAATCAGCAGTAATTGAGGCTACTGGCATTGTGGCGGCCGTGGCTTGGTTTTTCCAGCATATGAGGTGAGGAGCTCCTTAATTGTCTCTGATAACGTTCACTGGATAAGTCGCCGGAAATTGAACTTACGGCATTTTCTTCCTGGAATCGTTTTCTCCACCATAGAACGTAAGTGAGGAAAAATATTGTGAAAAACCCTGTTATAGCAGCTGCCAGCGTGCTCATGGAGCTCATGGTTTTGAGTTTCTCTCTCTAAAAATTCATAAAATAATAATAATAGATTCTCTCTCTAATCTGATGAAGATGGTTCTGAAAATGTCTTTGAATAATCATCAAAAGCGAGCTTGTCTCTGCTAAAACTTTTTGGTTCTTTGGGGAGGGGCTTTGAACTATTGTAAAGAGAGAAACTCAAGAGAGAGAGAGAGTACACAAACATGTGGAAGACATTACGGTATTTTGAGTATCGTAATTTTATGTTAATACATTATGATAATTAAATTATTATATAAAATGTTTAAGAATTATGGTATATAAATTACCGTATGTATTTTTTTATAAATTACGGTATTTAAATTATCATAATGTTCTTTATGGTATTTAAATTACCGTAATACTCTTTATAGTAAAAAGACTACCGTGAAAGTCATTTTGATCCAAAAAAGGTCAACAATAGTGAAAAATGGTGTAGATGAGGTTTTTAAAATTTAAGAGTTCTTTTTTTTCATTTTTACTGAAATATAGATATATTTACGATAATTTTCTTAATAAAAGTTTCAAAACCTGACGTATGGAATACGTAATACAATTGAATGGCTCAAGACGATATAGACAAACAACATTTACCAATGGACCCGGTTTTTATGAGGCCAAGCCCTCATATGTAGAAATGCGGGCCTATTAATAAATCTGTTTTTTAGATGGATTTTTTGATTTAATTTTTAAGAACATGTAATCTCTAATATGGAGATCATGATTATAAAAAAAAATAAGTAAATTTTAAAAACTACAAATAATAATTCTTGTAATAAAACATTTGGATCGTTAGTTTTTATTGTTTTTAGATGGACCACCTACTTGCATATAGGGGTGGCAATGGATCCGGACCCAACTCGTACCCACCGGGTATACCCAACACAGGTCCGGCTATGGGTCCAAGTTTTGGACCAGCGGGCGGGTCAAAGGATAATCGAAAAGTCTTGGGTCCGAGTACAAGTCTTGCTATACCCGACTCGACGAGTACCTAGATGCGAATTTTTAGTTTACACAAGTATCAAAGCGCCAACCTTAAAATCGTTTCAATACTTTTATTCTTCTCCTAGTTCCCCAAAAGACCAAACCCCATCACCTTCCTCCCTCTCTATGATTCTCTCTCTCTCTCTTTCTTGGAGACATAGCTCTCTCTCTCTCTCTCATTGCCCACCCCTCAAAAAATCAGTTCTCTATTGTTCACTATCGTAGGCTATAAGAAAGGAAGCTCATAGTGAAGTGGAAATGGACCCGTCCAGACCCAGGACTTGACGTATACGGGTCCAACTTTTTGACCCGACAGGTCGAGTTCAGATCCAAAACCTAGACCTGAATACGCTTAGGTCTGGGTCCGGATCCAACCGGACCCAACCCATATCCGTCCCACTGCCACCCCTACTTGCATCCATCTTTAAGATCGATGCTTTACACTTTTTGGACCATATATGTAGTCATGCGGTGCAGCCCACATGAAACAATTTTCTTTTAAGAATAGTGGTGGACATATTTTGGCCCTCTATACATTTTTAATCGTTTCATGGGGACTGGACTGCATTTCTATAATATGCGGTCTTGGTCCCGGTCCTTGACCCATTGCCACCCCTATCTACTCCCTTAGTTAGATGACCTGGGAGATTTTCTCAATATCAAATTTTGGTATCCACCTTAGAACCGTTAGAAGATTGTTCTCAAAATAAATAAATAAATAAGTATTTGAAATTTGAGTTTTCTAATACAAGTACTTAGAGAGTGCAATTAGGAAAAATATTATTGAGGTTAATCTATATCCCCAAATTTTCGGGTCCTAAAACTAATCCTAGGTGGAGTTTTAGTCGAGAAAGTAAATGAATAGCATACTCCCGAGGGAGTAGAATATCTTCTAGCCCTTGAAATTACTCGAGAAGGTATTTGAGTGAATTGATTTGACTAAAGAAACCCCTATATTGGTAAACCGGTTGAGTTAATCACCATGGCTACTTTTTGAGGTGATTTGATTATTTTAAATGATATTTTAAGCACGTCCTTGCATTACATAAGAGTTATGATTTCGGAGAAACCAATGAAATGATCCACGATACAGTTAGAGATTGTTTAGGAAGATAATTGCTAGCCCGCACCTGTTATTATGCGGGTTTCGACATCTACACCATCCACCAAAGAAAGTTTATTGGTAGAAACATAAATAATAGTTTTCGAAAGAAAAAGTAAAATCAACAGTTTAAATATTTTCAATAAGAAATGTCATTTTTGGTTTTTAAAATTTATTTTGTTGTACTGATCAATAATTTACATAGATTATATATTTCCTAAAATTTACTATTAAATTATGTTTCCCCATTTCTACACGCGAGTCCGTGAAGTCATAGAGACCGCGTCCTTGGTATAAAATCGTGTCACTCCATAAACTCCACCATTGAAAGAGAGAGACTTGCAACGAATATGCAGATGAACAGTTTCTGGTGGATCATTTCATCGCTCATATGCTCGCTGTTTTTGGCAGGAACTATTGCCGAAAATCCTCCCGAAAGGTCAGATTTTCCGTCGGATTTTGTATTTGGAGTGTCAACTTCATCTTATCAGGTGGAAGGAGCGGTGAAAGAAGGAGGAAGAGGACCGAGCATCTGGGACAGTTTTACCCATGATCATCCTGGTATTTTTCATGGATTTCTCTCTAGAAAAAGGAAATAAAGGTTGTAAAGAATTGGTTTTGTCAGTTGAGCATAAGTTAATATTGGGTTTTTGCAGAGAAGATAGATGATAGAAGCAATGGGGATTTTTCCGCGGATTCTTATCACCAATACAAGGTTCCCCTCTCTAACATATGAGGAAAAAGAAGGGAGAGGCAAAACAAGAAAACAGAGAGATGGGGGCATAACATTTATCTTATATATGCTTGCATGATCATATCAGGAAAATTCTCTCTGCATAAATTAGAAACAAGTTTCATTTATGCAATCTGCTCCTCCATAATTACATGCTCTCTCTCCTGATTTGTTTTTACCATGATCTTATTAAGGAATTTGGTGTTTTCAGGAGGATGTAAGGATGGTTACAGAGGTGGGTTTGAATGCCTACAGATTCTCCCTCTCCTGGTCCAGGATTCTACCAAGTATGTTGCTATACCACTTCATCCTTGGGGTTCAGGGTGTAATAGTCATTTAATTACAATCTTAATTTGCAAACCATTAGAGGTAGGGGTGGCAATGGACCCGGACCCACCCGGGCCGGAGGGGTAGACTTGATCCGGCTCCAAATATGGGTCTTGGTATAAATTTTGGACCTTATTTGAATTTGGGTATGAATTCCAATATAAAAATATATTTTATTATATAGATTAAATATAGTTAAATACATCAATATTTTAATTTTTAAGTTGGCCGATCAAGTCCAAATCCGAGTCCCGATCGATATCTTTTGATCCATGTCAGGATCTGGGTCATTGTCACCACTAATTTTGGAGGGGTAATATGGTAAATTCAGTGTTAAGCAAGGGCTATTTTGGTCATTTGATTTCCTTTTTCTAATCATATATAATAATCGAAGTTCCCACTAACCTAACTACGTTTTTAATTGTTTATCAAAACTAAATTTAATAAAATATACAATTTTCTCTTGTTTTCTTCAAAAAAAAATCACGATTCCCAATAACCGGTGCTACGCTTTTCACGTGATCTCCATTGTTTTCCTTGTCGTTAAACCTCTTTCTCTTGTGCACCCTTTTTAATTCCTTTCAACTCTGGATCATGGGGGCGGATGAAAGCAATGTATCTTTCTTTTCAATATAAAAAGTAAAAATAGCCAAACTATTTAGTGGTCAAACCAATTTTGATTGTACCATATCCCTCATGAGCGTTTGTAAAATTGGCCATATTGACTAGGACCCCATTGTGGTTCCCAGAATTGGTCACTGTTGGGTGAGTGTGGCCATAAAAGCCTTATAAATGTTTGTAATAAACATTTTGATACAAAAGCAAATGATGTTTATCGATACCGGACTGAACTTGACGAGTTAGGCTAGTCAGTTAGAAAAAACCTATATTACTTGAGCATAAAAAACTATCTAATAAGGGTTCTAATAGATCATTCGTTGATGATGTTTGAGTATGCCCGGATGAATGAGCGGAGGGACTTGTGACCCTTGTGTATGATGGTGGCTTTCAAAGACAGGGGCAACATTTAAAGACAGGGGTCAAAGCATCATCCACGGTCGTTTCGAGAAAGTAAATCACCTTTCATAATAAAGCATATGCATGTGCAAGAGATACCCATTGCGCCATATGAGTTGTTGTCGCATCAAGTCTAGATGACCTTGGTACGCCTCCAGGGGAGAACCTGAAATCCACAAACTGAGATTACGACCCCTTGACTCATCAACCAAACTTTGGTGACCCACTAATGTGTCTCTGCCTGAACTATGGGTCATGAAAAACACTGGGTCGGTTTGATAAAACAAGTGTGAACCGTAGTCCACAGTTGAAGGTGGAGTGTCCCAATATTTATTTATTTAATTCTTAGACTATATAGATCCTTTTCCCATCTGATGAATTTAGTTATGTGAGTTTTATTGATATATGATTTTTAGAATTGTTATTTGAATTTTTTCTAAATCTCTGGATATTTTATTTATTAAATTTGGATTTATAAAAATAGATATATTTTTTTAAATATTCAAATTTGATTTTATAAATTTCTAAAAAATCATATAATTAATTTTAATATTGTATGGGAGGCTCAATATGTTAATAAGCCTACCATTGCATGTGGGTGCACCTATGAAGTACCACCTAAGGTGGCATTCCCCACCCTAATGAAACTTTCCTTGTGTTAATTCAAGTTTTGGCTTGAAGATAAATATTTGAAGTGTTTTGGAAAGATTTTGCCTTGAAGAAGCTTTCAAATGATGTTTGGAAAGCATGAGGAGGATTGTGCATTATTTTGGTAAGCACTATATTATGAATGAAGTTATTTTATTTAATTTCTATTAATGAGAAAATGGTTTATGAATGGGGATAAAAGTTTTAGCGCCTTCCATAATGGTAATGGTCCATCTATAGAATGATGGGCTCAAATCTCTCACCCTATAAGTCACCCAAGATCAATTGTTCATATTCAATCTCACGAAAAGAAGCAAGTCAAAGAAAACCCTAATCACCTTATCTCTTGCACCTAATTCATATCTCACTCTCTCACATCCCATAGAGGGGGCACGCCCCACTTAGTTTATCTCTCTTTTAAGAAAGATTCTCTCTCTCAAGAGACCCAAAAGTGCACACCCCACTCTCTCATCTTTAATATCTCTTTCATTATGGTTCTCTCAACTCTCTCATAATCTCTCATCTCTTATTGGGGTTTTAGGCTATAGGGTTGTAGCAGAAAAGTGAAACATCTCTCTCAAACTAAGTTGGTAAGGGGATTCGCCTAAGGGTTTGAGATTTGTGATAAAGGAGCTCATTGTTCCATTAAAAGGTTTAGCCTAAGCTTGCTTTCCCTGTTGAGATTGAAGAATGATCGTTGATCCCAAACAATCAAATGTGGTGACTCGGTATGTGGTGTAATAAGCCAGGTTGAGGTAATCTCCAGTACTCTCTTTTTATTTTTTGCTATATTTAATTATATTGTCTTTATATTCCCAAGCATAAGAATTGTGAATATTTTTTTTGTTCAAATAAAATTAATTTAGTGGCATCAAGGTATTTAAGATATTGGATTTGTTAGTTTTATTTTTTTTGAAACAAGAGTTATTATAATATGACTACTTGTAAGTGATTTTTGCCAAAAAAAAAAAAAGGTGAAAAGAAGAAAAATTTAAAAAAATATATTCCCTAACAAGATCACATTAGTCTTTCTTTCAAGAGTGCAGTTTTCCATAAGGTTGCAACCTTAAACAATCCATCTAAACTGAACATTCAAATTTTATCATAATATATAATTTTGATATAAAATAGTCTTAGGATTATCTCAAAATCTATTTTTATATCTAATTATAAAATTTTAAATTTAAAAAATGGTTAAAATTAAGTAGATCTATAAACATATGGAAATTTTGAAAATGGACAGTATAGATAATATGTTGTAAGATGCACTATTTCTGAAATGCAAAATCTTTTTATTTTTCGTAGTCATACATCTCGATGTCGAGATGTTCGATCACAGGGTTTTTCAACATTAAAACAACCTTTTTGGATGGATCCGTAGTTCTATATTTTAAGGTTGCAACCTTATGTAAACTTTTCCCTTCACTGGCCATGGCCGGTTCTGGCTAGTTAGGGTGGACGAGCCATGACCTTAAAATATATATATATATATTGTAGTAGATTTTTAATGTTTTTTATTGTTTTGAAAAAGATTGCAAAATATTTTAGCCATGAATACTTATTTTAAAAAAAAATTCTTTTTTTTAGATTAGTTTTAAAATACCCATAGCACAAATTGATTTTTTAAAATCCATTTTTTCACAATTTTTTTAATTCCATTTGGATGCATTTTGTTTAATTATAATTTAAACATACTTACATATTTTTGAAGAATTTCTTTTTGTTTTTAACCCTTTTTAGCATGGGTTTTTGGGTGGGATACCCAGACCAATTCTAGATGACCTGGACCGTATGTATCTATGGCTCCCAGGTATGTTTTCTAGCACTGCCCCACACCAGATCGGTAGCGGGAGGATTTTGATGACTATGGATGAAACTTTCTCTCCCTCTTTAAACCTTCTTTACGAAACTTACTTCATATGCACCTAGAATTGGAATGGAAGCTCTCAAGTCCCATCAAAGTTATATGGAAAAGGATTAGGTCATGGTGATAGCATCCCCACACCTAATTGACAAAGAAACAAACAGATAGAGGCCTGTATTTTTCATTGAAATGTCCAATAATAATAATAATAATAAAGTCCCATAAAGTTAGAGGCCTATCTTCCCCATTGAAATAACCAATAAAAAAAAAAAATCCCCATCAAAGTTTGACGTGCACGAAACCGACCACGTAACATTGGACCCTCTACATAAAATATTTGTCTCTCTCTCTCTCTCTGTCAACTCTTACCCTCTCTGTCAAGTCTTACCAAATTTTCACGTACACCCAACCCACATGCATGCCGTTACTTTTGTTTGTCATAAAATTGAAAATTCCCAAATAGGGCTATTAATGGGCCCCGACCGGTCGATGGACTTTTGGGTCGGGCTAGATTGGACCACTTTTTCCGGCCCAAACATTGTAAGCCCAAAATATTTTCAGGTTAATATTGGCCTGGCCTGGCCCGGCCTACAAAACTTTTAGTACATATTGGATTCTTGAAATATACTATTTTTCGTAAGCCCAAGCCCAGCCCGCTCTTTGTGGTCTGGACTAGGCTCGGACCATTTCATGAATTCAAAACAAGTCTAGGTAAATCCCAAATAAAAAATAAAAAACAAAGAAGAAAATAAAACTTGAGAATAATAAAAAATAGAATCTCGAGCTAGATTGGCAGGTTTTTGATAGAACCAGTAAGTTTCCGATATATGTTAGGAATCGGATCTCGCTTTTCCAATCCATATTGACATTTTTTAAAACCCTGCTTTTTCATTTATGACCATAAAGATTTTCCAATCCACATCGACATTTTTTAAAACCCTGCTTTTTCATTCATGACCATAAACATTTTCCAATCAACATCGACATTTTTTAAAACCCTGCTTTTTCATTTATGACCATAAAGAACATAATGATGTCATTGTATACAATAATCCACTTGATGCCATTATCTTTTGAAAAGTAGGAGGACATCTGAAAGGAGGAGTGAACAAGGAGGGCATCAAATACTACAACGACCTCATCAATGACTTGGTCCTTCATGGTAATAATATCAAGCACCCCTTTTTTCACATTTTATTCCCTTCAATTGCCCCTTTATTTATTTACTATTTTGTTGCTCCCCTTGGACACATATGAAACATTAAAATGTCCTTTAAAATGATTTATGAAAATTAATTGAACAGGGATCGAGCCTTTTGTGACATTGTTTCATTGGGATGTACCCCAAGCCCTTGAGGAAGAATATGGAGGATTCTTGAGTTCTAAAATTGTGTATGTATCTCTTCACAAGCCTAGTTTATTTAACTAAATAAGTATCTCAATTTAAGTATCAATAATATTAATCAATCATCATCATGGTCGGATCATCAACCTATAAAATTTTGGATCTCAATTCCATCTCTAAGATAGATTGTTGGAAGTGGACTAAACTTTTCTTCAATATTTTAGGCTTATTTTTATTGCATCTCTTCTAGGTTTAAAGGGAGAAAACAAAAAATCAAAAATGAAAAAGCCTTTACTGTGCATTAAGAAATTAACCAGAATCACTCTGCAACAAGAAACATGGAAGAAATATTGTGTTTTATATTAACATTGAAGACTAATGATCATAATCCAATCATCCACGTCGATATTGAGGCAAGGGGGACCCACCAAAACATGGCAGCATCCAAGTGATAGGTTCCACTCTCTCACCATCCACCCATTTATTGGAAAATAATGACCTTCTTGACCATATATTTATTATTTTTAGTTGCTTGAATCAATTTTTCAAAGATAATCAGATCTGCATTATTTTTAAAGATCAAATATGTTGACCTAAGGCAGCAATAGATTTGCATTGATTTAAAATGCACGTCAAGTCCGACATCCCTCGAGAATAAAACGGACAGGTGAGTCGAATCAAGTACTTCTCCTAAGGCCTAAACCTAATCAAACACTAACAGAAATGTAATGTGCTTTGCAGGGATGACTTTCGAGACTACTCTGATATTTGTTTTAAAGAATTTGGAGATAGAGTGAAATATTGGATCACCATAAATGAGCCCTTGACTGTGGCTGCAGACGGCTATGATTTGGGCATCAAAGCCCCAGGGCGTTGTTCGGTAGGCTTGGGGGATTGTAGGGAAGGGAATTCAGCAATAGAGCCATACCAAGTTGCCCATAACTTCATCCTAGCTCATGCAAATGCTGTCCAACTCTATAGAAACAATTACAAGGTATCTCTCTCTCTCAAATCACTTCTGAAAATGAATGTATCTCTCTTGGCACATAAAGATTCCGTAAAGGAAAATTGTTTCATCCGGGCTGGACTGCATTTCTACAATAATATGCAGTCCTGAGGAATACTAGGTGGTCCATCTAAAAACAAGTGTAACTAACGGTCCAAATGTTTTTTTAATATAATTAGTATTTTTAGTTTTCAATTTTATTTTATTTTTATATTCAAGATATTCATGTTCTAGATTATATATTCTCTAAAAATCAAGATCCAATTATATTTAAAAAATATATTTGTTGCCAAGCTCGTATTTCTACAGTATGCGGGCTGGACGCATAGAAACCGTGTCTTTTAATAAAAGGCTCCTATTTCTTTTGGATTCCAAACCCAAAACACATATCCTAATCATATATATATATATCCCAAGCTTGGGCCTTGATAATGAAAGGATAGCATCGTCAAGTGATGTAAATACCCATGACGTTTAGGTATAAGAGGCATGATGAAAAACCGTATTCCAGGTTTGGAACCTAAGACAAGGGGATGTGTTTATGTTCTTTTAGCTCAGCCCCATAATCAATTTTAAATTATTAAAATACTTTTACTTGTTCAGGCTCTTAACAGATAAAAACATGTATTAAAAAGATGGCTACGAATGTATTTAATTAAATCATCTTTTAAAAGTAAGCATTTCATTGACAAATCATTTACTTGACAACCTATGTGATTTTTTGAGGTGATCCAACCCGTTTATTTACCCATAGAATCCAAATGTTGCAAAACACCATTGAATCTTGAGGTTGCATGCCCAGGAAGTACAAAATGGAGAGATTGGGATGTCAGCTTCGTGCAGGTGGCTCCTGCCGCTCACTAACTCGACTGAGGATCAAGAAGCTGCCATTAGAGAGCTGGACTTCACCCTTGGTTGGTATGGACAATCGATTGGCTTATACACAGAGAGAGAGTGTGTGTGTTATGTAGCTTATGAGTGTCATTTTGTTGGGTGGATAGGTTTGTGGAGCCACTGGTTCGGGGAGATTATCCGATAACTATGAGAGAATACGTGGGAGAAAGACTACCCAAATTCACCCAAGAGCAAAGTGATATTGTGAGGGGGTCATATGACTTCATTGGGCTCAATTACTATACAGCAAGATATGCGTCTAATATTCCACATCTGCTGCCCACACCACCAATTCGCTACTCTCTCGACGCTTATGTTTCTAAATCTTGTAAGACCTACCCCCCCTCTCTCTTTTTCTCTCTCTCACCCCCTAGAAGTTTTTAAGGAATAATTAATCAGAGGGCTTTCTATGTGACTCCAACCACATATATGCTATATGTGACTCCAACCACATATATGCTATATGTGACCCCTGGTCTCAGCTATAGTAGATGGTTGAGATGACTTGAGTCACAATTCACAAGCTAGCGCTTAACTTGATCAGATGGCTCATAGTGCTTTATTTTTTATTTTCATATTACACATAATTTTCAAACAAAATTTGGGACATGCATAAATCTGACAGGAGCGCACATGACTAAAATATTAAAAAAAAAAAATTCCTGTTATGAATCATTATCATAATACCTTTGAAAATTGCAAAAGCATTTTGGTCATTTATTTTTTTATAAAAAAAAATTTATTTTTTCCAGATTTGGAAAGCCCAAAATTTCATCCAAAAATGTTTTGTAGAAAAATAATAAAAATAAAACAGTGTTTGACGTGGCATTATGGTATAAACAATTGTAGCCGTTCAATTAAAATCAAACAGATAAGAAGTGGGGTCACATATAATTTATATGTTGTTAAGGTCACATAGAAACATTTCCCATTATGAGGAAAAAGGATTGCTATAAAGAGAACAATTTATCTTTTGTACATAGAAATCACAATCATTCTTATTCCTAAAATTTTTAAATGGGTGGTTATAAAAGTGTCATTGGATAAATACAAAGTCCCCAAAAAAAAAAAACTTCTTAGACTTGGGTGACTCACCCCAAGACATCCAACTTGACATAAAAAAAAAAACAAGGTGGTTGTAAGAGTGACATTGAATAGACACAAAATTCTCAAAAAAAATTATGAGACTTTGTGACTTATCTCGAACAATCCAACTTGACATCTATTGAGTGAGAATGATTATGACTTCCATGTACAAAAAATAAATGTTCTCTTTACAAGCAATCCCCACATATTAAGGTAAAAAAAAGTAAAAAGCCCAAATTTTGACCTTGTAGTTTTGGTGAAATCAAAGTTTTGATATTAAAAAATCCGTTAAGGCTATCGTAGATGATCAAAATGGTACAAATTTGGGGGAAGAAAAAATCAAAAGAAAAAACTAAAGAGAAATCAAAAAAAAAAATACTCGCCAAAGTAGAGCAATCAGCCCCACTGAAGTTCAGCTAATTACTTTCTGTCGCTGTAATACCAAAGGCGAAGAATCAATCAATTTTTTGATGATCAGAATGATCGGTAGTGCTTCTGATAGTATCGCCTTCTTATAAACCCAAACAATTTTGAAAATACACAACCGAGTCCCGTTCCCATAAAGGAGACAGAATGGTCCGGCCAAGTCCAAAGCAATCCAATCTAAATCGGCTATTTTTCTAATGGAAATTTTGTCAAAATGCACGTAAGAGATGAGGCATATTCTTATCTTTTCTCATAAATCTGAGTCGAAATGGCTAAACAAATTAAAATGTTAAATATTTGATAAATTAGGATATTTCAATAAATTTCCCTAATCCTCCTTCAGACCTTATGCCATTTTCTTAAAAAATTTCAGTAATTTTTTGTTTCTAATTAATAAGACATTTTGCAGATGAAAGGAATGGCCTCCCCATTGGCCCAAAGGTAGGAATCCACAATCTCTCTCTTCTCTCTAAGTCCATTTCTCTTCTATATGGATCCAAATGTAAGATTCTCTCTCTCTCATGAATGTTGGTGTATGAAGGCTGCTTCTTCTTGGCTATACGTGTACCCACAAGGTCTGAAGGAGCTGCTGGTGTACGTAAATAAGCGTTATGACAACCCCATCATTTACATCACAGAGAATGGTAACACAATCTTAAACATTAAACATGATGTTCCACTCTTAACTCTATAATTTACTTGCACTAATGCATGCTTGAAGTTCTAGCCACGTCAAATTTTACAAAATTTATAAAATTATACTTCATCGCAAAATTGGGATCCAACCTTTGTCATGGCCTGTAAATCTGTTACTCCTATGGCTCTGGAATTTGAAGCGTCAAAATTGAAGCATTGATATGTGAAGATATGGACTACACAAAAATAACATCACAATATGGCCAATTTTTTCGGCTCAAAATCCTCCCTTTTTTCTGCTCTATGATTATTGAATTAGACAACAATTTTTCATGCGTCACAACTGCATTTTCCATTGACATTTGAACAACATTACAAAATACTTTTTCTTTGTATATTAGAAGGAAAAAAATCATACAATAGAAATGGCATGTATAATCACATGTAGTTCCATTGTGCAACTCTCTCCATGATGCTTTAGCAAAAGAATTCGAATTTAGTATTTTTTTTCTTTTTTGACAAAATTTGAACTCGAGACTTAAAGGAGTGAAACTTTTTGGTTTTTCCAGGTGTGGATGAATACAACAACCATACCATCTCCCTCAAACAATGCCTCAATGACACTTGGAGAGTGGACTACCATCGCTGGCACATGCCATCCATCCTAGAAGCCTTGAGGTATGAATGAGAGAGACATGAAAATCAATTATAGTCAATGAAGTACTACACGCATATACACATATACAGAGGTTGAAAGAAGTTTAGATAAGGATGCAACCTTACTTATAAAATGTCGTACTCGTACATGCCAATGTCAAGATGAACAATTAGAGTATTCTCCAACACCAAAAAAACCTTTTTTCGATGGATTTTTGAAGTGCAGCTTAATTTTAAGGTTGCAACCTTATATGAACTTTCTCCTTAGAAAAATTAGCAAGTGCTAAATTAAGGGCATAAGAACCTAGTGTGCATATAATTATCTCCACCATCATAAGAATTATCATCCAATAATGTTTAAAAGACTGCTAGTCCAACCTGTGGGAACCAAGCGATTCCAACCAAAGAATCTCAACCACCTGGATCAACCACTTTTTTAAACTTCTTTGTATTTCTCAGTATGTATCCGAGTCGGACTCACACCAATCAGATTGGCAGGCCTCGGGCTCAGGTGCCCAGCAAGTCAGAGCACAAGTCGTACTTTTTTAACATTGTTAAAATCACTACTTTTAAATCAAGACTCCCTTACTTGTGTATTTATGTGTGTAGGGAAGGAGTGAGGGTTAAGGGTTACATTATATGGTCCCTCCTTGACAATTTTGAATGGGAGAATGGGTACACTGTTCGCTTTGGTGTCTACTACGTTGACTTCCTGGACAATGCAAAGAGATATCCCAAATATTCTGCCTATTGGCTATCAAGCTTTCTTGGAGGAAAAATTCCAAATCCTAAATATAACAGGCATGACTTGAAGAATTTCATTACCCATGATACTATGTAATTTGTAATGAGAATGTATTAATAATGGACCTAAGTATATATTATGCCATATCCTTGTGTATTTTTTTGAGTATTTATAATGGACCTAGGTATATTATCCCATATCCTTCTTTGTTTATTGTGCTATTGACTAGAGAACCAAGGATGCATCATTATATGCAAGGGTGTAATTATCACACCATAGACTGGATGCATTCAAGCTGGATACAAAAATAACGTATATATTATACACACAAGCATAAGTACATATATCCCCATTCTTTTTACCCTTTTTTCTTTACCCTTTTTTCTTTGTTTTTGCTTCATATTCTTTATACACATTTTCGGAGTTTTTCATATCATTTATAAACCAAAATACTAGAGAACGCCAAAAAATAACAACAGGGTTTCTCCATGATAGAAAAGAGACCTAATTACTAAATCAAAAAGATCAGAAAACAAAAGCATCAAATTAGGTACCTCTGTCCTAGCCAGCCACAAGATCTTAATTGGCCTTAGCATCAGAGGAATAGGCATCTTACAGGTGATTCTATTGAAGCATCTCATCTTTAACAAGGAAATCTTTTGCATCTTCTTCGGACACATCACTATGTAAACAAAGATCATTATAAAACAAAATCTGGGCATCAGTTTCGTTAGTTGCACAATATATATGATTTATAAGAAGAAACGGGGTACAAAATACAGATGTAAATAACAAAAAGTTTCTGGTGAGTCCACTATCTCATGCCTCCAGCCTGGTTGTCAAGGGATTTAGGACCCAAAACACATTCTAAATCACTGCAAATTCATTTGTCTCAAACCATGAATTTGGAGCTCCAAAAATAGTGTAAATCTAATAATCTTTCAAGAATCGAAATGAACAATCCAAAAACGGTGCGGTTTGTATAGAGCCGAGGCTCTAAACAATCAAAGTAAAGCACAACTTCAAATAGTGTTGAGAAATGTGGTTTCCATACTGGAAATCTTTATGATAGCCTTAAAATATATTTTCATCTTTGATTATAAAATTTAACGCTTCAAAAATAGTGTAGATCGACCAGATCTATGAAAATCTTGAAAATTGACGATCCAAAAATGCATTACAAGATACACTATTTCAAAAACTTGAAATCCATTTTTTTCTCTTGTCCATGCATCTTGATGTTGAGATGGTCAATTTAAGGATATTTGGACATCAAAACAACCTCTTCTAGTGAAATTTTTGAGGTGGGCTCTAATTTGATTGTTTAGAGCCTCAGCTCTATATAAACTTTTTCCATCCAGAAAAGCTTACAAGAACTATTTTTAAGGCTCAAAATTCATTATTCTTTTCTACATTCATGAAGTATTGGATACTCAAGTCATCTCCAAAATAGATGTTGGAAGTCACTAGAATAGGTGTCCTAAAAACATACCCAACAATAACAACAACAACAACAACAACAATAATAATAATAAAGATCAAACAACACCAAATTTTATCTTTACCTATCAAAAGACTCTTTTTTGCTGATCAAAGTGATACCTTCAGACATGACATGCTCCCAAAAAGGCTTCAGACATTCCTCCTTGCATGCTCCCTTTAGTTCACGTAATAATTCATTGAAATCCCTTGATTTCTATACATGACACCAGCTAAATCTGAGTAAATTTTAAGAATAGAATATCATGTATGCATATAAAATATGTATACATGCACGTGTTAGTAGATGTGTATAACAGGACATTCAACTCTCTCTCTCTCT